TTGTGCCAGGGTCTCCCTCTGTCACCCAGGCTGGAGTGCAGTGGTGTGGTCTCAGCTCACCACATCCTCAACCTCCTGGGCTCAAGTCATCCTCCCTTCCTAGCCTCCCAAGTAGCTGGGACAACAGGCATGAGCCACCACACTCAGCTAATTTTTGCAGTTTTAATAGAGACAGGATTTCACTGTGTGACCCAGGCTGGTCTCAAACCTTTGGACTGAAGCAATCCACCTGCCTCAGCCTCCCAAAGTGCTGGGATTAGAGGTGTGAGCCACCGTGCCCAGCCAGGTTTTTTTTAAGTAAAAAATTTCCATATTCTATATTATGCCTTATTATCTGATAATATACTGCTTTGCAATTTGCTTTTTTCTCTTAATAAATCTTGAATATCTTTTTATGCCAATTCATCTATATAGCTCTACCTTATTCTTTTTTTTTTTTAGCCATCACGCCCAGTTAATTTTTGTATTTTTAGTAGAGGGGGGTTTCACCATGTTGGCCAGGATGGTCTTGATCTCTTGACCTCGTGATCTGCCCACCTTGGCCTCCAAAGTGCTGGGATTACAGGTGTGAGCCACCGCACCCGGCCTACCTTATTCTTTTTCTGTATTCACAAACATTTTTATATCCTTTTTTTTTTTATGGGGTCTTGTCATGTTGCCCAGGCTGGTGTTGAACTCTTGGGCTCTAGCGAAACTTCTCTCTCAGTCTCCCAAAGTGCTGAGATTGCAGCACAAAATGGGCTGAGCCACCATGCCCAGCCAATTTTGTTCTTTTTTATGGCTGTGTAGTAAAAATATGGAATACTTCATGAATCTGCGTGTTATGCTTGCACAGTGGCCATGCTAATCTTCTCTGTATCATTTGCACCTGGTCTACCTCATTCTTTGTAGCAGCTGTATAATACAGCATTGTATGAATGCACTATAATTTTTTTAACCAAACCAAACCTGATGTTTTCTAGATTCATTATTTAACCACATTATCAATAAATATGGTTTCCCCATTTTTTTTCTATTAGTGCCACAACAAATTCTTGAACATAGTTTCATGTTCTTAAATGATTTTGAGGATAAATTCATATATATATATAAATGCTAGGCCAAAGGAGATAAACATTAAAACAATTTTATAGCCATTGACAAATTCCTAGCAATTACATTTTGAAACACCTTTTCCAGAACAGCTGAGCCTATACTGTGTGGCATCAATGTTGTTAGTCTTTGATAATCGGATAGGTAAACATATCCTGTTTAATTTGTACTTCTATAATTATTGATGTGATTCTTCATCTTTTCAGAGATGTATTGGTCATTTCAACATTTTTTCCCTACAGGTTTTTTACTCATGTCTTTTGCCTATATTTCTCTCAGTTATATGCCTTTTTCTTTAATTTTAGACTCGTGGTACATGTGCAGGTTTTTTACATGAGTAGATTGCATGATGGTGAGGTTTGGGCTTCTAATGATCGCGTTGCTTAAGTAGTGAACATAATACCCAATAGGTAGTGTTTCCAGCCTTTCCCCCTTTCCTTCCTCCTCCCTTTTTGAGTTCCCAATGTCTATTAATCTTATCTTTGTGTCTGTGTGTACCCAATGTTTAGCTCTTCCTTATAAGTGAGAGCATGCAGTATATAGTTTTCTGTTTCTGTGTTAGTTTGCTTAGGATAATGTCTTCCAGCTGCAACCACATTTGTTGTTGTTGTTTGTTTGTTTGTTTGAGACAGAGTCTTGCTCTGTCACCCAGGCTGGAGTGAAATGGCATGATCTCAGCTCAGTGCAACCTCCACGTGGTGGGGTTCAAGTGATTCTCCTGCCTCAGCCTCCAAGTAACTGGGACTACAGGTGCTTGCCACCATGCCTGGCTAATTTTTTTTTTTGCATTTTTGGTAGAGACAGATTTCACCATGTTGGTCAGCCTGGTCTCAAACTCCTGACCTCAAATGATCCACCTGCCTCGGCCTCCTAAAGTGCCGGAGTCACCGGGCCCAGCCAGTTTTGTTCTTTTTTATGGCTTTGCAGTAAAAACATGTAATATTTCATGAATTTGCCTGTTATCCTTGCACAGTGGCCATGCCAATTTTCTCTGTAGCATTTCGGTTTTAGTGATGTGTTGCCGAAGTGAGTACTGTATGCCTTTTTCGAGAACAGTTTGTACATTAAGAAAGAGAAGGGGTTTTAATGGATGGAAAGTTTGATTGTAGAGCAACTGACTCTGATCCTTCTGTTGGTCCCTTAAAACTCAGTCCCAAAGACTAGAAGGAAAATGCTCCAACTTTCAAGGAGCAGTGGGTGAGGTGTTCCCAAAAATGGAAAGAGAAGTGGTTGTCTGTGGATAATTTGGAGTTTAAGAAAGTTTCACAGCAGATGTTTCAGTCTTTTGGTGAAGAATCTTGGCTCTTGTCTTCCCATATTCATTCTTCCTCTGGGTGGACAGCGCAGGACTGCTTTCTGGTCTCTTGCACTTTCCTGAGTTTCTGATTTCCCCTAACAGGTAGCTTCCCCCAACCTCTGCTAGTAAAACTCAGCCTTAACCACATAGACCATTCAAATTAGAAGACGGGAGAGGTCTCTTAGTCCACCTCCTCCTTTTGCAGATGGGAAAAGTGAGTCCCAGAAAGGAAAGAATTGTCTCTGGTCTTTTGTGTCCCCAACCAACTGACCGTGGCTATCCTTTGAGTCCTTTTTTGTCTTCTCCAACTTGGTAATCTGAAAGCAATTGTGATTGGTTATCTTGGTGAGGAAAATAATTCTTATTTTGCAACTGTACCCATATTTACAACTTTCTTCAGCCCCAAATTTATATCTCATCTTATCCCTTAGACTACCATGTGGATGGATGTCAGTTTCCTTCTACAAATATCTCTTTCTGCCCTGAGCGATCCTTAATGTCAGTTTTCCTTTGTCTCCGACTTCTTTCGAATTGTGTTTCTTCCAAATCCAAGGCAAACCCTCACACTATTCCTTCTCTAGATGGTCTTTACAGTCTTTAATTTTTTAATTCTTAGACAATTTTATTGACATTTTGATCATCATGATACCCACTATCATAGGAGTAGCTCAAGTGGATAAACTTACACAAAGGTGTGGGTCAGTTAAGCCTTTTGGCATGGAGCCATGACAATGGACATTCATGGTCCCTTCAAAATAAGCAGGCAGTTAGCCATCAGAAAAATGGATAAATGAGATTGCAAAGGTCACATTCTTCCCAGTTTTTTTTGTTGTTGTTGTTTTTGTTTTTTTTTTGAGTCGGAGTTTCGCTCTTGTTACCCAGGCTGGAGTGCAATGGCGCGATCTCGGCTCACCGCAACCTCCGCCTCCTGGGTCCAGGCAATTCTCCTGCCTCAGCCTCCTGAGTAGCTGGGATTACAGGCACACGCCACTATGCCCAGCTAATTTTTTGTATTTTTAGTAGAGACGGGGTTTCACCATTTTGACCAGGATGGTCTCGATCTCTTGACCTCGTGATCCACCCGCCTCGGCCTCCCAAAGTATGTGGGGTTCTCCTGATTTTTTGAAATGCACAGAGCACCAGGCATGGTGGCTCACACCTGTAATCCCAGCACTTTGGGAGGCCAAGGCAGATGGATCACCTGAGGTTAGGAGTTGGAGACCAGCCTGGCCAACATGGCAAAACCCTGTCTCTACTAAAAACAGAAAAATTAGCCAGGCGTGGTGGTGGGCACCTGTAGTCACAATTACTTGAGAGGGTGAGGCAGGAGAATTGCTTGAACCTGGGAGCCAGAGGTTGTGGTGAGCCATGATCACACCACTGCACTCCAGTCCAGGTGACAGAGTGAGACTCCATCTCAAAAAAAAAAAAGAAAAGAAATGCACAGAGCAGCCAATTGCACTTGAAAATTCCTATTTAGAAGTAGGCACTTCTTTTTTTTTTTTTTTTTTTTTAAGACAGGGTCTCACTCTGTTGCCCAGGCTGGAATGCAGTGGCATGATCAAAGCTCACAATAGCCCCAACCTCCTGGGCTGAGGCAATCCTCCCACTTCAGCCTCCCAAATAGGTGGGACTACAGGTACATGACATCACATCCAGCTAATTTTTGTATTTTTTTTTTTTTTTTTTTGTAGAGACAGGATTTTGCCATGTTGCCCAGGCTGGTCTTGAACTCCTGGGCTCAAGCGATCCACCACCTCATCCTCCAAAGTGCTGGGATTACAGGTGTGAGCCACTGTGCCCAGTCTGAATGTAGGTACTTCTATGGGTTTACCAAGAGCACCCACTTAGCAGGCATGAAATCATGGTTCTCATCCTGGCTCTGTCCCTTACAGTTCTGTTGACTTGGGTAAGACACATGTCCTCTTTTGGCCTCAGTTTCCCTATGTATAAAATTAGGCTAGAATTGGGCTAGAGCATTTCTGTGGAAACCCTCAGCCCCAAAGCATTACGATTCTCTACTGTCTCTGTCTTCTTGACTGTCTTTCCAACTGTCTATCAACAATCTAGGGGACAAATAAGCAGAAGTGTGAATGAAAGATGTCACCAGATGGGATCCTGAGGCTTTTGTGTTAGCCCATGTCTTCTGCTTTTCCTATTTCCGACCTCTCTAAGCCAGCAAGTGAGTATTACTTCATTGCAGTAATGCTTGTTACTCTAGTACATCCGACGTCAGCTGGAGTTTGCTGACCTAGGAAAGGAAAATTCCAGCATTAAACTTTTCTCTCTCCTCTCCCTGCTCATTAACATCCCACACTGCCATCCTGATTCTCTTATCTTGCCCTTTTACTCAGGGTGCTAAAGAGCCTCCTCTCAGACCAGTGTGTTCTAAGACCACCAGCAGCAAGCGCAGACTGTGTCCTGTAGACCAGAAAATAAACCAGGCTGTCAGAAGCCTCTTAGGAGGCCACATCCATCCATTCAGCTCTCTGTTCCCTGGGACGGGCCTAGCACACTAAGCTGCAGCCATCTCAGAACCTCCGTTATTGTGGAGAATGAGAACCAAGTATCAGGCCCAGCTAAGAAGCAGGAAGACTCAGAGCTGGGCCCTTCTCCTCTTTCCTTTCCTGCTACTGGCATCCTTTGGTGGGCTGGAGAAAAGGAGGCATTGTCCCCAGTCGTGACCTGGGAAATAACTGGCCTCCTCTCCACCCCCAGGAAACCTCCTACATCCATCTGGCTGCTGGGCTGAACAGCTAATGCCACTCCACTCTCTCCCTCCCCATTCTCCCACCCCACTGCGCAGAGAAGAGATGGGGAGGTGGTGGTTCTTGTTCCTGAAAGGGAACATTTGTCTCCCTTTCAGAGGAGGAAATGTTGGAAGGCAGTGGTGGTCTTCCTGTGGACTCCAGGCTTCACATCCTGCCTTACTTTCTCCTTCTACAAAGTGGGTCTGAAAACTCCACAGCAGCCCTCACTCCTCCTCTGTGAGAGCGATGCTGAGAGAATGAAAATAAAATCATGAACAGCTGTGTTGAAAGGGCTGCCCACCCCCTACCTTAGAATGAATGACCCAGTGTCCTGGCTATGTATAAATATGCAGGATCGGAGCCCAAACCACCAAGATTCCCCTTCATGACTCTCCATAATAAGATAAAATGGTTCTTTGTCTCGAGTTTTGACACATAAATTATCTCAATGATTTAAGTATTTTTACTACAATATTTTTGTGCAACACCAATTCAAACACCAGAAATTACCATTTTTAAGGTCCATTTTGGTGGACTGTAATGGAGTAACTTCCCAATATGACTACTCAGCAGGTGGTGATGACTGAAAACATTTCAGCATTGGGCCCTTTGTTCTGGCTTATCAAGATTTCCGTGCACAGAACCACACACAGTGGAAATTCATCTCCCAGCTCCACCCTGACCCAGGCATTCTGCACTGGGAATTGGGGGGATGGGGAGGAGAGCATTCCGTTCCCCCTGCTCCATTCTGCCAGCAACTTCTTTCTTTTCAAAAATCTGAGACTCAGTTGAGCCTAAGCCCTCTCCCTAGGTCTTCGCGTTGCCAGAGCATCCAGAAAGCTGTCCTCTGCATGAACAAGGGTGTCGTCCACTCAGCTACAAAGACTGCAAGACCTCCGTTTCCAGAACTGTCCTCCTTTCATAGCCTGTGCTGTTGTCAAAACACATCAGGCGACCCGCAGCTGACCTGCCGGGATCTCTGGCCTGATGGCCCAGGCTCCTAACTCTCTGAAGGGCCTGCTGTTGAGGAACACTCCCTGGCCCCTCCAGAACCCTCATTTGCTTGCCCCATGGCATCATCTGGCAGTCTGAAGCCAAATAAAACAACCACTTCTGGCCAGTTTCCTGCCCAGGTTTTTCCTAGCATTCACTGGAGTCGGAAAGGCTCCAGAAACTCCCTCGAGGTGAGCTCCATCTGCAAAGCTCCTGAGGCCCGAGCAGAGAAGTGGACTAACCGCGCTTTTCCCGCCCGGCAGGTGGTAACTGAGTCAGACTTGTACACGCACCAGCCCCTGGAGCTACTGCCCCACCGCGGAGACCGCAGGGACCCGGGCGACGGCCGCAGGTTCGGGCGGCTCCAGACCGGGAGGCCGCCCACAGCCCACCCAGCTAAAGTCCTTGCCAGACCCGGTACGTGAGTCTTCGCCCCAGATCCCCGCACCTCCCTGGGCTCAGGGACCGACTCAGAGCCACCCACACGTCCAGGTCAGGGCAGCGTGGGCGGTTGCTGCGGCCTCAGTCGAGCCAGGTGATCAAGCGTCTGTGCTTTCCAAAATAAATGCTGTTTCCACCACAAAAGCACCTACTCTCAGGCATCTCGCGTCCCTACACAACACCTTCTACCTGTAAAAGAGTCACTTCTAGGTGTGCATAATGGGTAAAGATACTCTTATCTAATCTTTTTTTTTTTCTTTTTAGACAGGGTCTCACTGTGTTGCCCAGGCTGGAGTACAGTGGCAGCGATCACGGCTCACTGCCTTGGGCTCAAGCCATCCTCCGGTCTCAGCCTCCCTGGGACTACAGGCACACAGTCACCATGCCCAACTAAATTTTTTTATCTTTAAAAGATAGGGTCTTGGGAGGCCGAGGCGGGTGGATCACGAGGTCAAGAGATCGAGACCATCCTGGTCAACATGGTGAAACCCCGTCTCTACTAAAACTACAAAAAATTAGCTGGGCATGGTGGCGCGTGCCTGTAGTCCCAGCTACTCAGGAGGCTGAGGCAGGAGAATTGCCTGAACCCAGGAGGCGGAGGTTGCGGTGAGCCGAGATCGCGCCATTGCACTCCAGCCTGGGTAACAAGAGCGAAACTCCGTCTCAAAAAAAAAAAAAGATAGCGTCTTGCCATGTTGCCCAGGCTGGTCTCAATCTCCTGAGCTCAAGTAATCCACTGGGTGAGGCCTCCCAAAGTGCTGGGATTACAGGCATGAGCTGCTGAGATGGGTCCTTATCTACCATCTTGCCCCACAGGAGGCCCTGCTGTATTCTAGAGAAAATGCAAATCAGCATGCTCTGGGGGAGAGAAATCCAAGACCCAGGAAGCAAAGGAGGCTCACATAGTTTATTTAACAATGAGTGTGCATGTGCGTGTGCGTGCGTGCGTGCCTGCGCGTGTGTGTGTGTGTGTGTGTGTAAAATTGCACAGGTTTTTCATAACCTGCCATCATAAAATCTTACCATTCTAAATTTGAATGACCTAAACAACAATCTATAACAAGAATGTAGGAGTAAGTTTGTCTTGAAAATTGGAAACATTATAGTTTTACCTTGGATGCTATTTTTTTTTAATGGCTTCCACCCCAAGCAGCTAACAAGGAATCTGCCTTTAGCCCACCCAAGTCTATGATGGTATTTTGCCTTTAATTGCTGGTTTAGGTTATTTCTGTTATGCCCACAACCTAAAGTTATTCATATTTTAGCTCCAAAAATACACGATAGAAAGTCGAGGATGTCCTTCTGAAAGCCTTTGGGCATTGGCAATTTTGTATATTACAAGAACTGAAATAAGACTCTACTGGGTATAGTCTCTTCCTCCATCCATCTTTGAGTTTTCCCTTTGTAGATGCTAGACCAGGCCACCAAGATTTCTTTGATCAGTAAGAACCTAATCCTGCTCCTCTGATCCTTTGCATAAGAATGCATACATCAAGCTACATTCTCTATTAAGTGGTTACATACACACATATGTATGCAGAGTTTGAAAGCATTAGGAAAACCACAATCTGCCTTGCAAATTAAGATGAGATAGATTTTTCTCTGTGTCTATATATAGGTGGGTGGGTGGATGGGTACATGTGTGTGTGGAAAGAAGAAGAGACGGAATATTTATCTTTTCTGTAAAATCATAAAGTGAGTTTAGAGCCTTGCTCCTCAAATTTTAATATGCAAAAGAATCACCCAGGAATCTTGTTTTTATGCAGATTCAAATTTAGTAGGACTGGGTAGGCCCCAGGATTTTATGTTTCTAACAAGTTTCCAGATGCTGCTGCTCTGGGCACAACATGTTGAGCAGCAAGGATTTAGAGATGATCTAATGCGGTGGTTCTCAAAGTGGAGTCCCAGAAGCAGTAGCAGCAGTCCCTGGAAAATTGTTAGAAATGCAAATTTTATGGAATTAGAAACTCCAGGTTTAGGGCATATTAATCTGTTTTCTCACAACCCTCTCCCCACCACCCCTCACCGTGCACCCCACCCCCAGGTGATTCTAATGCACCCTGAAGGCAGAGAGCCTCTGATTTACTGCAGCTGCCCCTCTGCCAATTTCCAAAAGAAACAGAAACCATAGAAACTGTTGGACCTACCCAAGGTCGCACTGCTTGTTAGCAACAAAGCCAAGATTAAATCTCAGGTCTTTTGATTCCCTAGCTAGTGCCTCTTCCCCACAGGGAATGTCTTTCCAACTGTCTAGTTTTAGGGGTCACTTTCATTACTTTCTAAGTAGTCTGTGGAAACTTGGGCTGCCTGAGTCAGTCTTTTATTCTAAAAGACAAGACCAGTAAGTTATGATATGGAGAGAATCTGCCCAACACGTGACAGTCAGCTCAAGGAGGAAATATGCCAGTCAGGTTTAAAAAAAAAGAAAGAGAATGAGCTGGGGATTGGTTCAGTTCCTTCACTTTCCCCAATCAGATAGATTCCAGAGTGGGTGGGAGGCAGGGAGTGTTTCTGAGTCAAAGCCAGACCATCCTCCTGTCAAGAAAGGTGCCTGTCTCCAGGGAGCTCAGATTTTGGAAGTACTTTTTTCCTGAGCCATAGACAGCACCTAGACACAGTAGCCTTCTCACCTGGGAGAAAGATGCTCCAGGGAATCTTGGGAATTGTAGGAACTCTGAATGCAGAGACCTGACTAAGAAATTTTCAGGTGCCTGGAAATGGGGCAGCCCCCACTCCTGGGCCTGGGAGAATTGGCTGCCTGCAGGACTTCTTCACAGAGATGTCCCCAGGCACCTCAGAACCAACTTGTTCAAACCTTTCCCTCTAACCAGACACAGTGTCTCATGCCTGTAATCCCAGCACTTTGGGAGGCCAACATGGGCGGATCACGAGGTCAGGAGATTGAGACTAGCCTAACCAACATGGGGAAACCCTGTCTCCTCTAAAAATACAAAAATTAGCCGGGCATGGTGGCATGTACCTGTAATCCCAGCTACTCAGGAGACTGAGGCAGGAGAATGGCTTGAACTCAGGAGGTGGAGGTTGCTCCACCTGGAGCAGAAACCCTCCCTGTGCTCCCTCAGCTTTAAACACTGTGTCTGCTCCTGGCCCCTGCCCTCCAGACCACACTGACCTCTCCAGGGCCGCCTCCTATGATACCTCTGTCCCCACCATTCTATCATGTGGAGTAGCCCTGAGCTGCAGGGTAGTTCTGTGACAGCTCCATGAAGTCCTGCTTCCCCGGACTTTCTCTGACGCTGTTCTCTCTGCAGATTGCCTTCACTGTATCTCTCCAGCTGGCAAACGCTACCTTCTCCCAGCTGGGGTAGAGGGTCCCTCAGTCAAGCCTCCTTAGCCCTGCAAGACCACCCAAAGTCAGTTCGCTACTCCCTAAATCACCCTTACCTGGCTTCATCATAACTGTTATGTATCTCTAAAGCCTCAATTTCCTTAACTAGAAAGTACAGACTATTCCAGACCAGCCTGGGCAACATGGTGAAACCATATCCCTACAAACAAAAATTAGCCGGGTGTGGTGGTGCACACCTGTGGTCCCAGCTATTCGGGAAGCTGAGGTGGGAGGACTGATTGAGCCCAGGAGGTCAAAGCTGCAGTGAGCCAGAGATTATGTGTGTCACTGCACTCCAGCCTGGGTGACAGAGACCCTGTCTCAAATGAAAAGAAAGGTTGTGGTGAGGATTAAATGAGCTAATACTTATATGGTTTACGCTCAGTACTGTGCCTGGCATACAGACCAAAATGTGAGCTGCTATTATTTATTAGTTATGCCAGGGCTCCATTCATTATAGTTTAATCTTGGTAGTCTTGTAATATTTGATTTTATTTGCATTGAGATGTTTTCCTGGGGAAGAGGAGTTATTTCTAGATGCTATAGTACAATCAGATGGGGCAAACAAAAGAAGCTATTATCCAATAGACATCTTATACATGGTGGTGGGGTGGGTACAGGGTGGACTGATTTCCATCACAGGACCCTGCCTGGTAGAAATGCCTAATTCCCAGGCACGGCACAGGGGAAAAGAGATGTAAGGGTCTCAAGCACTCTGGCATATCTGCCCCCAAGCCTGTGCTGAAAGCCAGCTTTCCCCTACGTTTTGTCAGCTACCTCAGCTCTACACCTGGATCCTCAGAAGCCTCAAGGTAAAGACTACTCAGAAGTAGGTTGGGGCATCAGGAATAAAGGCATTAAAAAAAGGTTCTCCACCCATACATCTCGTAAAGCCAGTGTCCGAGGATTCTGATCTAATACACTCCAGTCCTTCCATGCTGTGGGGCCACACTTCCTTCCCAGCACATGACTTCTCTGCTCATTTTTAGAGGAATGTCCAGGAACACTGTGTTAAATAATTGATCCCAGTTATAAAGACTTAACTCCAAGAACCTCTTTAACCTCTTGTGATATGAGGCCTTGGGAAGGAAGGAAGAACTGAGGGCATATTCTCTGAGTACCTATTGCCTGCAGACATGGTGCTAAATGATCCACACGTGTGATCTTATTTTGAAATAGACTTTATTTTTAGAGCAGTTTTAGGTACACAGCAAAATTTAGCTGAAGGTACAGAAATTGCCCATATACCTCCTGCTCCCACACATGTGCTGCCTCCCCCATCAACGGCCCCCACCAGAGGGATATGTTTGTTACAGTCAATGAACCTACATAGACACACTGATCTTATTTAGACCTTAGTTCCAGCTCCCCTAGAAGAGTGACAGTTGCCTTGTGGCCTGACCCTCCTGCCTGGTTTTGCTGCTTGGTACAAAGGCCCTTAGAAATTCTCTGCTGTGGTTGATTGGCTAACAAGGTAATTGATGCAGAGCCAGGGGGAGGCAGAACACAGAGTGCCACTGAGTAATGTCTCCTCTGTTCAACGTTGCAGTGGGGATTTCTGAACCCAAAGCATCAAGTCTGTGTGGGAATCGAGCATATGGAAAATCTCTGGTAAGTAAAATAAGCCTGCTTCGTTGTATCTGTTGTGCATTAAACTTCTGGTCATGTCTGATTCTCCTGTGCCATGAAGAGAGACTCAGTGTTCTTTGTTCCAGGCCTGAGGATTATTAGAAAAGCATAACTGGCAGTTCTTTGCTCCTAAAGCTCTCAGTTGGCCCTGATTTGTGCCTTGTGGAACATCCCTGGCTGCTTCCCTCTTTCTTGCTAGAAATTCAGCTCTTAAGCAAACAAAAGAAGCTATTATCCAATAGACATCTTATACTTGGTGGGGGAGGGGGTGCGGGGTGGACTGGTTTCTATCACAGGACCCTGCCAGGTAGAAATGCCTGACTGATTTCCAGGCACAGTCACAGGGGAAAAGAGATGTAATGTTCTCAAGCACTATGAAACACAAAACACCAGTGTCTTTCTTAGCACAGGCTGCTGTAAGAAAATACCATAGACTGGGTGGCTAAAATGACAATTTCTCACAGGTCTGGAGGCTGGGAAGTCCAAGATCAAGGTGCCAGCAGATTCAGTGTCTGACAAGGGCTCTCTTTGTGGCTTGCAGATGGCCACCTTCTCACTGTGGGTTTACATGGCCTCCCCTCTGTGCACGGGGGGAGGGGGAGATCCCTGACATCTTTTCCCTTTCTTATAAGGGCACGTTGTCTTACATGGCAACTGCCACCCTCACACCTCCATCATCACTGGTGTCCAATTTGTTACCAAACCCTGCAGATTCTTACTTTGATTAGGCTTCCCCCACACATGCCTCCTAGGGAGGACAAGGAGGCATTAGGGAAAACATACTGGTGATCCTATCTAGGGTCTCTTCCATCATGACCTCATCTAAACCTAATCACCTCCCAAAGGCCCTGCTCCCAATACCATCACATCCGGGACTAGGGCCTCAACACCTTGTAGGGGGCTCCAGGACGAGCATTACCCACCTAGACTTCTCTGAGTTGGACCAAAAGGAGCAAGCTTTTATGTTCACTTCTCACTCCATCAAGGCATGTGGGCTGCCCTGGGAAGGATGTGACCTTAACAAGGTGGCCCTCTACAGCAAAGCCCACCTGAAGGAATTAAGAGCTACCCACCTCACTGTCCTCCCTCCCACAGCTGGGCAGCTGTCCTTTCTTGAAGGTGATGGGGTGGCACATCTCCAGGCCTATCAGTTCATTTCCCTCATATCTGAGCATGAATGTCGGGTTCCCTCTTGGCTAGCAGAGTCAGCAGTGGCTGGAGGTGAAGTCAGCTCAGGCATCCAAGGTCCTTTGAGTATCCGCTGTCAAGATCCAAATATGGTGCAATGTGAGAACCAAAAGAGACCCAAGTCATTGTGCCAGCCCCTCACTGTCACAAACAAATTGGACAGAGATATGGGTGCTTCGCTCCTGGTCTGGGCAGGAGACCTAATCCAGGGATCTCATTGAGGTCATCGCTATTCTAGGAAAACCCCACACAGGGCAGGGATGGGGCAAGCTGTTTCCCCTTCCCCAACCTGGTACTCAGGGGAAACTGGGCAGTCTGGGCAGTTGATGTCAAGGGAAGATTATCAGGCTGTGATGGCTCCAACAGTGGCCTCACCTGAGCCAAAGAAAAAGCAAGGTCAAGGGGAGGCAGGTAGCTTATGATCTTGGACTGCCTGGCCCCAGCCCTTAGGCTGGCCTCAGTCAGAGAAGGCAGTAACAGCAAGAGTCCAGAGGAAGCTGGGAGGGTATAGGGTGGTGATGGGGATGTGGACACAAAGGGAGGGAACAAGAATGAAGAGGAAGAGGCCAGCACTTTGGGAAGTGTCTCACACGTGTAATCCCAGCAGTTTGGGAGGCTGAGGCAGGTGATCACCTGAGGTCAGAGGTTTGAGACCGGCCTGGCCAACATGGCAAAACCCCCATTCTACTAAAAATGCAAAAATTATGGGCGTTGTGATGCATGCCTATAATCCCAGCTACTTGGGAGGCTGAGGCAGGAGAATCATTGAATCTTGGAGGCGGAAGCTGCAGTGAGCCAAAATCATGCCACTGCTCTCCAGCCTGGGTGACAAGAGTGAAATTCTGTTTCCAAAAAAAAAAAAATTAAGAGGAAGAGGAGGCAGCACAACAGACCCTTAGACCTGGAGACGGCAGGGCTGGGGTCCCACAGCTTATCAGATTATCTGTGACCCTAGCACGGGAGAGCAATCCAGGGCCCACATAGCTAACTCCAAGTCGGCACTGAAGTGCGCTGGGTGAGACTGACCTAAGGAAAGGGGAAAAGTGTGGGAACAAGGCCTTTCTCCCAGATACAAGGGAGTGCCGAGCTCACCCGCCCATGGCGTGACTGGAAGGGAGCGCTCAGAGGGACCACAAGGTGGCACAGCAGCCCTGCCCACGGTCGGCCAGCTCAGGGCAGGAGGGGGGGTGAGGAAGGGTGCCCTTGACGGTGGATTTCCCAGCGATTTTAGGAATGTGGTGACTTGAAGCCTTGGATAGGGCTTGGGGGAAGAACACAGCACTGAGTGTGTCTATTGTCCGAGCAGCCTCTGGACTTAGCCCTGGTTAGGCCGTCGGTTAGTTTTTAAGTTAACTCCATGTTCCTAAGTACTTGTCACTCCTTTGGGAAGGCTGAGGAGGGCTGCCAAGGGGTCCAGTCCCAGACCCTGCTACCCACATTGATACTCAGTGCTGTGGGGACCTGAGGACAGAGAAAGAACAACTTGGGCCATCAGCCTCAGGGAAGGCTTCCTGGAGGAAGCAGCCTTGAAGGGCAGGCAGAGATGAGGCCTCAAGCCAGAGGGTGAGTGAGGAGGTGCCACTGTGCCAGCATCAGGGAAGGCAGCAACCCTTGCTGGGAGCCCAGCTACTGACACACATGGGGACCAGTGGGGGGCTGAGCTGTGTAGAGGAGGGTGTCCTGTGCTGAGGAGCCTGGAGGAGCAGCTGCAGTCAGCCTTAGTCTGCCCTGCAAGGTGGGGAGCTGGGGAGTGGGAGGGGGGGGTCTTGCATTTCTAGAGTCCAAGTAGGGACATGAGGAATGTGGTGGATCTGGTCGGAAGCAAGGAGGTCGAGGTGACTGTCCCTTGAAGGCTGCAGTGAAAGAAACAGAGAGACTGGGCTGCCCCCCCCCACACACACAGACTAATCAAAGCAAGAATGTGCAGGATTTAGTAACAAATTGGACACCAGTGATGATGGAGGTGTGAGGGTGGCAGTTGCCATGTAAGACTGAGCTGGGCTGTCTCCAGTTTCTCATTTCTCTCGCCTGAGTTTTCTAGGTCAGTGGCTCAAAGTAGAGTCCCAGGACTAGCAGCACTAGCAGCACTTGGGAACTTGTTAGCAATGCAGATTCTCAGGCCCACAGCGGACCTGTGGACTCAGAAGCTGGGGTTGGGCCCAGCACAGTTTATCAAGCCCTCCAAGTCAGTCCCACACCTGCTGAATGGTGAGGATTATCGCCCAGGCAGTGGTGGTCTCATTCAGTCATGCCCCTTGCAGACAGTCCCAGTCAGGGCCAGAGTGGGAGGGCAGATGCATCCTCATACTCCCTCCCACTTCCTCATGACAGATTCCACCAGTGCCCCGGATCTCAGTGAAAACTCCGGCCTCTGCCTCATTGGAGGTGACAGCCATGGGCACAGAGAAGGGAGCTGTTCTGATGAGAGGGTAAGTGCTGTGTCTCTGGCCCCACCGCCTGCGGCCTCCCGCGCTGTCCTGATCCTTCCTTCCCCAGAAGAGCACCAGGCCGTCTGGTTGACAGACCCTTGAGAGGCTGACACAAACCCATGCCAGCTGCAAATTACCTTTTAATGAGGCCAATAATCCTGGGTCTCTGCAGCGCCTCATCAACTGTTTCCCTAGGATTAAGCAGGAGGGTTTTTCATGGTTTCCACTTCATTAACACCACTCTTTAGGCTTGGAGAAGTCATTTGGGAGGTTTTTTTTGTTAATTACATGAATGTAATCACAAGCCATTTTCAGAACCTCCCATAGGCACGCAGGAGTCAGAAATGTCTCTTGAATAAGTTCAGGATCCCCTGCCTACCCGCTAAGAAGTGTGTCAAATACAAGGGTTTCAAACCACACTTGCAACTGCAGTGTGACTGTTCGCTCTCATCCAGAACCGGCAGCTAGGGAGGCAGGAGCGGATAATCCCTGACACCCCTCAGTGACACTGCCTTCTGCCTTGCACCAAAACAGTGAGTCTTCAACTCGATTCAGCACGTACTTGTTTGCCCTAGACTACGTGCTCCATACCACAGGCAGCAGAAAAAGCATTTCAGATGGCAAAGGGTTGGGTTCTTTTCTCAGATCTGCTTTCTAGCCCAGAACTGCCACCAACCCACCATGACTTCAGGCAAGCTATTCAGCCTTCCTGTCCACATCCATTCAAAAACAAAACAGTAAAACAGGAATCACAGGGGGTACCCATTTGGGGGGTTATGATGAGAATTAATTTTTTTTTTTTTTTTTTGAGATGGAGTCTCGCTCCATTAACCAGGCTGAAGTGCAGTGGTGCAATCTCCCCTCACTGCAATCTCCACCTCTCTGGTTCAAGCGATTCTCCAGCCTCAGCCTCCCAAGTAGCTGGGACTACAGGCGCATGCCACCACATCTAGCTAATTTTTGTATTTTTAGTAGAGATGGGGTTTCGCCATGTTGGCCAGGCTGGTCTTAAACTCCCGATCTCAAGTGATCCACCTGCCTCAGCCTCCCAAAGTGCTGGGATTACAGGCATGAGCCACCACGGCCCGGCCTGATAATTGAATGAGATAATGGGTGGAGAGCTTAGAAGTTGTTGTCAACATGTTTCAAGAAACTCATCTAGTAGTTGGGAAGCATGCACTTGAGAACATGTTGGATGCATGCAGGAGGGGCTCCAGGCTACACTGTCAGCCCGAGCGCTGCACACTTTGAAAGTATTGAGAGGTCAGAGCAAGAACAGGCTAGTGGGGAGCACCTCTGAATGACAGAAAGTTGGCTAGAAAGAATTATAGAAACTAAGTCATGTGTCCCTCAATGTATGGGGACGTAACTGGAGAAAAGAAAAAAAAATTTTTTTCTTTGATTCTGTTATATCCAATAAATATCCAAGAAGATTGGATCATATTTATTTTACCTTAATAAGGTACAATTTTTAAGTGGCAATAGCTGTTGCTGGCTGCTGGTGTAAACCAGCAAAAGCTTCACTGTGCCGTGACAGAGGCCAGCCTTTCAGTCCACATGGCTGCATTGCGAAGGGTTCTAAATGGTTCCCTTCTCTCTAAACTCAGTCATTGTCATTTCAGTTTGTTCCTGGACCCTGGTTACAGAAAAGCAAAGTAAGGCTACCAGTTCTTTCACCTAAGGGAAGCAGGGGGAGGGAATGAACACATGTTGAGGCCCGCAATGTGCCAGATGCTTCACTCATTTTCCTCCGCCCAAAAGCCCCATGAGTTAGATGAGATTATCCCCATTTTGCACATGAAGAAGCTGAGCTAGTAAATGTTAAGTCGCTTGCCTGAGGTCACACAGCAAATGGGAAGCAGGATTTAATCCCAGGCCTCATTTTCTTTCAATAGCTGATGCTTGGGGACCTCTGTCCTTTCCAGCAAAGTTATTCACATAGAGGCCAGAGGGGTAGAGACGCATAACCTTTAGCAAGACCAGACACAGAGCAGGGGGACAGGAGCAGAACTTGAGATCCCATGAACCAGTGTGCCCAGGACCACCTCCTCCGTTCATCCCAGGGGAAGCCATTCCTGTGAGGGTCCCAACAGTGACCCTCCCGCTATGTGGATCCTGGTCATAGAGGAGGAGTAGAGGTGGAGGGAGAGCTCTGGTCACTCCTCTTGAGGACAAAAATGAAGTCTGGCTCATGAGCTGACTACCCTCCTCACCCATCCCGGGCCTTTCTTTAGCTCCAGACATCTCAAGAAGATGACAGAAGAGTATCCAACCCTTCCCCAAGGAGCAGAAGCCTCTCTACCACTGACAGGCAGCGCTTCCTGCGGTGTCTCCGGAATCCTCCGGAAAATGTGGACAAGGCACAAGAAGAAGTCTGAATATGTGGGAGCCACCAACAGCGCCTTTGAGGCCGACTAAAGGTGACCCTCTTCAGGTGCCCTGCTTTGGCCAAGGTTCCCTGGACAAGAGGAGAAAACTTCAGGATTGGAACTGAGCCACTGTACCTCTGCTAGTAGCTGGTCTAAACCCATTATCCTCCCTCACTCATTGATCACCCTGGCATAGGGCACAGGAAAGAAATATCTGTCCCTTCTTAGAATTGCTAAAGCCATTGGTCTGAAAGTGACTTAGGGAGGTCATAAAGTTTGTATCTCTGTGTTTAAGCAACAAATTAAACTTTCCAGCCCATGTTAAAGACCTCCAAGGAAGGAAAAACGTGATTCCTCTGTCTTCCTTGCGAGTTGTCCTAAAGCGTGTGACTTTCTAGTGTAAACTGACTTCGAGGCATCTTGTAAACAATGGTTCTTACTGTTTCCATTACTGCATTTACTTCACCTTGACAAGGTACAATTTTTAAAGGTAAAGCACTATATATTAAGTTAGTAGTTCTAATATCCACTTGAGAGTATACTCAAGATTGATTTTGATGGCCATTCGGCATGATTGCATGAATTCTCTATTCTTTTATGTGCAGTTTTTCCATAGAAAAACATTAAAAGTTAAATGTTGAATGCTAATGTTTTCTGAAGTGGCATAGTCTAGTGGAATTAATAATCCCTTGCTTTGGTATGTGGATTTGAACTTTTGAAAATGCTTTCTCATCCGTTATCGCTTATCTTCACAAAACCCCTATGGAAGAAAGCACAATTATTCCCAATCTGCAGAGGGGGAAATGGAGGACTTCGCAGGTTATGGGACCAGATACCAGGTAGTGGAATCAGACACCAGGTCCTCAACTTCTCTCTAGTGGACTCCCTGCTTTGCCTACTCTCTAGCAATTGATTTGGGGACATTTTTAAACGATGAGAGTGTGTCTCTGGGGGCAACTATTGAAGGGAAGTCTCTGATAATGTTGGAACAAGTAAGGGATTTGAATGAAATACTTTATTACATCTTATATGTTAGGTTGAACCAGAAAAAAATTGCCACTTTTGTAGGTCAAGAACAACTGAGCATCAATTTCATATGGTTCAATCTCATATATGATACTATGCTTTTCTTCTTTCAATGGAAAATGTCATCATCAATTCCATTGTCAACATTAGTAGCCTTAAAACAATAACATAATAATAATGATAATGATAGTCATAGCTATCATCTATTAAATGCCTATACTATGTTTTAGGCATGATTCTAGGCAATGTATGTATATCATCCTAATCTTTCTAACAACTCTTTTAGGTGGCCCTATCCATTTAATATATGCCAATTCAAAGAGGTTAAATGATTAGACTGAAGGCATCTATCTCATGTGAGTGACAGGCTTCAATGCCTGTGTTATAGCTACTCCTTCACACAAAATAGTTCAGAACATAGAGAAGGACCAAGGTTAATAAATGATTTTCATTCCAAATGCTAAACATGATTGATGGGTAGAGGTTGCCGGAAGTGCTGTGTAGAGATGGAATCTGAGATAGAAGAATGCGGTGGTCAATTAGTCATGCTTGCCCATGGAGGGATTAGTGACGCATGCCTTGTATGTTTGTCATCTGTGGCCTAAACGCTGACCCCAAAGGTTTGTTTTCTAATTCAGAGGTTTAAATTAATTCAACCCACTTAATGAAGCCAGAGATCCTATGGTAAGTTTAGCCTAAGACTGTGCTGGAAATTGCCATATGTTGGTACAAAGAAGTGTTTGGCCACATTAAAGGTCTCAGACTCAGCTGCTACGTGTGACTGCTGCTCTGTGCCTATGTCTTGCTTTTTCTCTGAGTTCCCTGTTGCTGTAACTCCAGGTGAACCGTAAGAAGGCAGACGCCTGGGCTTCTGGGCTTTCTCCTTGCTGTCTCTGCTCGTCAACCATTGTTTTAGACTCTGAACACCTGATCCTCATACCTGAACGTGATTTGGTATCAAGTGCTCTTTCAAGAGACTTGGGTTTCAAGTACCCTTTCAAGAGACTTGGGTATCAGGTGTTCTTTCAGGAAGGGGCTATCCCACACAACTGTTCAATTGTCTTGTTCAGTAGAGATGTTCGAGTCCAGAACAAAGTCAGGAAGAAAACCAGTAATCTTTGCTTGTTGTAACTGAGGATCCTACGACTATGTTTGTTTTTAAGACAGGATCTTGCTATGTTGCCCAGACTCGTCTCAAACTCCTGGGCTCAATGGATCCCTCCTCCCGCCTCAGTCTCCTGCAAGTTGGGATGACAGGCACATGCCACCATATCTGGCTCCTTGCAACCAATTATTTTAACTTATTTCATTTATAACTGATATCTTTCATTTGTATGTGACAGCTAGAGATTTATATCGGATGGAAGTAATTTATTTTTAATTTAAATATTTCATGTTGAACTGTTTGCCTTGTATAGAACATTTTATTTGGCCAATGCAAATAAAAATAAAGTCATCCTCGTTTGTGATGTTAATGCACCACTGTAAGAGCATGCCTGAGGTGCCCTCATTGAATGAAAGAGGTGACTTTTACAAAGGGAAAAAAATTAGAAACCTGGACCTCACTGCTCCTTTAAATGACAGGGATGGTAAGAAAGAACCTGGTATGTTCTTTCCATCCTAAGGCAATGTCTGGTTTTGATATTACAGGCACTGCCCAGCAGTTAACACTAGGGTCACTTCTGTCAGGGGCTGGCTGGCCTGACCTGCCCTCCCTGGGCTCAAACTCCTCCTGCTGATGCCGACTCCTTCGTCCCCACCATAAGCCCCAGGGGGCCCAGTGGCCATTGCCAGCCTGCTGGCCTCTCACCCTTGATGGGGGAAGATGCAACCTTCCCGCTCTGTGCCCACCTCTCGTTCAGCCTCGCTGGAGACTGCCCCCATGACTCATGTCACAGCCACTTGCAGAAGGATGCCAAGGCTCACTGCAGCCAGCCATTTGGGAGTGACCAAACCTGGAGTCTTCTTGAGCCAGAGGCAACAAGATTTCCAGGACATTTAGGGTAATAAAATTGCCTCTGTTAGGACCCAGTCCAGTCAAATATTTCTGTTCTTACTGAGCACTCGCTGTGGCGCTTCCCCCACCCCACCCGGCACTCAGGTTGCCTTTTGAGCCAGCAGATGGGCAGTGGGTAGGAAAAGCAGCACCAGCCAGAGCCCAACTTTAAAAGGAATCATGTGACAAATTGTCTCCTCAAAATTGGCAGAGACCGAAGGACAAGCAAGGAAAAACACAGGCAGAAAGATGACTCTCCTAAGTATTATAATTTGCATTGAGTTTTGCAAGCCACCGAGAGCTGTGTGGTTGAATGCATCACCACAGTGCACAGCGAGAAGGCTCTCGTTCTTCAGGCAGGGGCACATGCCCAGAAATTTTTTTAATTTTTTGTCACTTTGGACCTGGGACAAGATTCATACCTTTTAATACCCTTGGTCAGGAGAGAGCAGGGAGATTGAGAAATGGCAGCAGAAGGAGCCTGACATGAGGCAAGTCATCAGCCAGGTAGCTGAGCTGCACCAGCCACGTCCCTATGTCTTTGTCAGGGAGCCAAACCAAGAGGATCCCATTGCCCCCAATATGGGCCCTTCCCACACCTTTCAGACTTCTCAGGACCTGGGCAATTCTAGAGACCCAAGCATCATCTCCTCAGGCCTGGGCTGGCCCCTTGGAGCACAGTTGCCAGAAGCCTCATCTGCCTTCCCCTGGGCAAGTGGCCCATAAGAGCCCAAGATGGGCTAGGAGAGGCCTCAATTTTCCAGAAAGGACCAGGATCTGTACCCTCCCTGGCCCAATTAGGCAGAAGTATCCAGAGCTCTGAGCAAATGCTGACCAGCACTTTGGACTGGATCCACAGAGAAGCTTAATGAGTTTCCTATTGACTGCCTGAGCCCCAGTCATTTTTCAGAGACACGCCCCACTTCATCTTCAGCCAGACTCCACCGAACTCAGGATTCACCCTAGCCAGGCAATTAAGTGATTGGCACATGGTCTGGGGACATCAGGAGTTAATCAGCAGCCACCAGTGGACAAGACACAGCTATTTCTAAAATCACAAATGCCCTTAGTGATGGTTCCACGTGTGACTACCCATCCCAGGTGACAACATTCAGATAAGAGCAGGAGGGAAAGCAGACAGTGGGAATGGTTTCATTGTCTTGCCAGAACCAGTTTGGCCACAACAAAACCAGGCTGAGGGCAGGCTTGTTCTCAGTTTCTCAGTGTCTTCACCAGTACCCCACAGTCCCCCACCTTCCCCATCAAGACACATACACACCCTCTCTTTCTTTTCCTTTCCCTGGTTTCCCCCACATTCTGCTCCTTGACCTCTGGCAGGACCTGAGCCCTCACTATGTCCTCTGCCTGCCAGGGATCCCACCTCCTCCATCCAACTCAAGTCCTCTATCCTGGGTGCTCCAGGCTCTGAACTTCCTTCCAATTGCCAGAAACACTCATAGGCTCTGAGAGCTTCAGATGCTGTCGAACCTCATGGAGACCCAGTTTCCTTAGTAGTTGAAACGAAAGACTTTTTTTTTTTGGAGACTATCTCACTCTGTCACCCAGGCTGGAGTACAGTGGCAGGATCTCAGCTCACAGCCACCTCTGCCTCTCGGGTTCAAGTGATTCTTCTGCTTCAGCCTCCTGAGTAGCTGGGATTATAGGTGCCCGCCACCACGCCCAGTTATTTTTTATATTTTTAGCAGAGATGGGTTTTACTGTGTTGTCCAGGCTGGTCTTGAATTCCTGGCTTCAAGTAATCCACCCACCTCAGCCTCCCAAAGTGCTGGGATTACAGGTGTGAGCCCCCGCACCCAGCCCTCAGTTGTTGAAAAGAAAGTGTCATATCTTGCTCCAAATGTCCTAGGAAAGATTAAATGAAATAATCGGTGCTGACATGCAGCTGGTATGTACCAGGACGACTGCACATGTGTAAAAACGTCTGCATGCCTTCACACTGGCTGGTACCATCCAATCCCAGAACTCCCTGAAGCATCCTCTGTCCTCTGTTGGCCTGATTACCCAGGCCCTCCCCCAGACTCTCGCTGACCTCTCCGGGATTCAGCCATTGCAATACTGGGCACAATGTGGTGGGGGGTTGCGGGGAGCAGCAAGGTGAGGGTGGTTTCAGAACCTGCTCATCTTGGTGGCTGCCATTTGTCCTCTGATCATTTGCCCACACTCTTCCTGTTAAAAATTTGGACTATCCTCTGAAAGCAGTGCATTTGGATGCACCTATCTTGTAAGTTGAATTATAGATCACATAAGTATCAGGCAGGCTAAGGTGTAGAGGGATCAGCCTTTAAACTGTCACCAGCCATTTATACCATAGAATAAGTGAATGAAAGAATGGGGAGGAGGTTTTTGTAGGGACTGGCAGGTAAGGTAAAAGGAAGGGGGTAAAACACCAAGGGAAGAAAGGATTTGGAACCCAAATCGGGAAGCAACTTCAGGCTGTTTCTCCACACTACCTAAAGCCCTACTTCTCCCCCAAGCCCTACTTGTTCCCCACCAGCATTTTAAATCCCTTGGATTCAAGGTGCAATACTCCCCAGAAGTAGATGTCCTCCATAAAGAAAAAGAGAAATGGCCCCCATAGGTGGTGCTTCCGGGTGCCACTCACCAG